TATCCCATTTGATTTCCAAATAAATTTTCAGCTCCATTTGAAACATGAGGAAACTGAATTTCATAAAGATAAAGTAATCTTCCAAAATCTATAAACTGAACAGGATGAACCTAAATGCAGAGTTGCTTACATCAGATTTACAGTCTGACTTAAACGTCGTGCTTTCTCCATCGCACCAAGCCAAGGGCCGGCAGGTATGGCGGGGTAAATGTGCTTGCAACTTGTGATGTTTTAAACTTAATGATGAATTTGTTGGGATATAAGTTGAGGACAATCTATACACACACACACACACACACACACACACACACAGTGCTGGGGAGACCTCAGCAGTGATTCTACACAGGGAAGAGGTGTGGCAAGCTACATAACAATGACCTCTCCAGACACACACCAGCGGCTCTGTCACACCATCACCGCCATCTTTGACCTTCACACTACCACAGTGAAAGGGGGCAGGGGGCATCCACTGGCAGGTGGACACCGTGAGTTTCAGATCCTTACAGTCACTTCTCAGACACGAGCCGCCATTCCTCAAGCAGCCTAATGCCAGGCTGGCTCCAACACAGACATCTGAGAAATCTCACTGGACGACTGCATAGGAAGAAGGAAGAAATGTGAAGGAAGTGTTATACCGATACCGAGACCCTCAAATAACTCTCAGACCACACGTTGCCATTCCAATTAAGCCTTGATTGATGGCCAGCTCGGACACTCTACTCTCAAAAAGCAAGATCATCAGAGTGACACGCCCCCTTCAGTTTGGCCTCATATTTAAGCCAAAAAACCACAAAAGGAACGTTAGGGGGTTTAGCCAAAGCAAGCAAGCCAAGTTATAGAAGCAGGAGATTGCAGTCAGGTGGCGGGATCTCAGCCAATCAGAATAAGCCCAGTTACCCCAGTTACGGAAAAGGAGCCCAGTTAGATAGTTCCGTGTTCTTGAGGGTTTCCACCACAAAAGGAAGCAACAGCTTCCTCAGTCATGACCCTTCTAGTTGGCATGGCTGTTTCACAAAACGGAGTCACTAGAGTCAAGACTTCTGTCTCGTCACAGAAGCATGCTGTCAACCATTCCATTTGCCAGTTCCTTCAGGGACACCAAGGTATGATTCATTCTCCCTCATAACAGTCTGAAGAAGTGGGCGTTTTCCTCCCTTTACCACTGAGGAGATGAAATCCCAGAAGAGGTAAGAAATTTTCTAAGTAACAAGCTGTAGAAATGGATCCAACCCAAGTCTCTGAACATTCTAGCATACCAGGCTGTCTAGAGCCGGAGCCAAGTGTAAAGCTCTTGGTCACCTTACTCCTAACTGCTGACAGATCTCTTGCCTTCCATGGAACACCAGGTACATTATCTCCTTTCCCTTTCCCTGGTATTGAAGGCAGCCACAATTCTTACAGTAGAAACTAGATACATGGATTATACTAGTCAAAGCAAGAGAGAACAAACTTTCTTTCTCCCCTTTTCTTTAAGCCATAAAAAAATGAGAATATAATTGTCTATAATTTGCTTTCCAGGAATTCAAAGCATCTCAGAGAATTAATACTGACTACAATATATTTCACAACTACAATATAAGAAAATCTGACTCCTGTGTGTATTTGGACTTCAATTTTTCTAAATTTTCCCTACCCCATACAGCACAGGCAAGACTTGGAAGAGGTCTATTGGCAACATACATAAAAATAGAATTTTAGACAGTTTATACTATTCCTAAGCTTGAAGCGTTTATGTTATTAGAAGGTTGGGTAGATTAGAAGTTAAAACACATACCTATACAAATGTCCCAACAGAGAATGTGTCCATTCACTTTTTCCAGAAGTAGCAAGACTATCTGAGAAAGCATCACAGAGCAGGAGGGTTTTGACCAGCATTAAAGAACATGATTCAGCAGAGAGAACATCTACCCACCTATGGGGATGATTAGGCCAAGGTCCTTGCAACTTCACAGGACAATGATAGGATTTAGTGGCTCATCAGAAGGGACTTGAATGAAGGGATCACTGTGGAGTTAAGGAAAGGATTATGGGGACCAAGGAGAAGCAGTTTCCACACCTAGACTGATTCGGCAAAAGGAAGGAATCGCGGCACAGAGGCCCAGGGAGGGCTGCATCCTCCCCAGGAGCCATGGATGTGGAGGAAGTAACTGCTGCTAACTCCTTGCCACCAAAGCAGAGTGGGACCTGTCAATCAGCCAGCACCTCCCACAGGGAAAGCCGGGGCCAGAAGGGGGAGCCTCTTGGGAGTGGGAGGGGAGGGCAGAGAATGGGCCCAGAAGGTGGAAGTGAGGTCGAACAGGGGATGGTTGGCCTTTTTCTCTACATGTTGAGGAAGGTTAGGAGACTTAAAAGAAAAAGTAAAAGCCAAAAAGGAATGCAACTTTCCCCAACCTGACACTTAGAGGGAAGTCTAAGAACAGGCCCACTGCAGGGCAGAGAGCAGCCCGCAGTGACCCTCGGGACTCTGGCAGAGGCCGTCCACACTCCTCCCCAAGTCCAGGCAGTCCCCCAGAGCTGCTGCTTGCCCTTTCGAATCTCTAATAGATCAGTACCAAGATGACCAGACCACTGTTGCTGTCACTCAGAGACCTTAGGTGTCCGTGGATGCCAGCTCTCCTTAACCAAACCCCAGTCGCGCTCCTCTGAGCTCTGTCCGGCAGGAGGCCTGCGCCTTGGGCTGTGGAGCTCAGTTCCAGCAAAGACTCCTGTCAACTCAGCAAGACTTCTCCCCCATCAGCTCCTTAGTGACGCTGTCTCCGCTGTTCCCTCCTCTGCTTGTGGCTAGGATCCCCAGCTGTCTGCGGTATTCAGGGTTGAGCTCCTTCCAGACCGGAAGCCTCTCTCCTCGACTGCAATCATCTGAATACAACTTACCTCACCATTTTTAACCAGGATTCAGTGAATTTTTTTTTTCTTTTACCCAGATGCTAAGACAAGATCAGACCAGAGTCACCAAGAAGCATAGCTCCCTGCTCCTGGAGCCTCGGGGATGTGACATCCCTGCAGCAGGGGCACAGGCCACGGCAAGCTCAACAGGTGCACTGGTAGATAAACTCCCAAAGGATTATCTCAAGGTCACAGGCAGCAAACTCCCAGGGAATTCACTGTGAAGAGAGTCCAGCCACAAAGGTCAGGTGTGCTCTACAGCCATGATGTCCCACAGCTGATCCCGTGACATGACTACAGCTCCTACTCCTGTGTCCTGGCCTCCAGTCCAGTTCTCCAGCTTTCAGTTGATTCTATAAGCAGCCTCTATTATTTTTTATTGATTTTTAAAAAAAATAATAAATGACAGCAAAATGCATTACAATTCTTATTATACGTCTACCGCACGATTTTTCATATCTCTGGTTGTATATAAAGTATGTTGACACCAATTCGAGTCTTCATACATGTACTTTGGATGATGATGTCTATCACATTCCACCATTCCTGCTAACCCCCTGCCCTCTCCCTTTCCCTCCCACCCCTCTGCCCTATCTAGTATTCATCTATTCCTCCCATGTCCCCCTCTCAACTCCACTATGAGTCAGCCTCCTTATATCAGAAAAAGCATTCCGCATTTGTTTTCACTTAGCATTATCTTCTCCAACGCCATCCATTTACCTGCAAATGCCATTTTATTCTCTTTCAGTGCTGAGTAATATTCCATTGTGTATATATGCCACATTTTTAATCCATTCATCCACTGAGGGGCATCTAGGTTGGCTCCACAGTTTAGCTACTATGAATTGTGCTGCTGTAAACATTGATGTGGCTGTTCCCTGTAGTATGCTGTTTTTAAGTCTTTGGGGTATAAACCGAGGAGAGGGATAGCTGGGTCAAATGGTGGTTCCATTCCCAGATTTCCAAGCCTCTATTATTTGAGTAAATTTTATTTGTAGTTAACAGCCAACATCAGTTTCTCCTGTTTCCAACCCAGAAGCCTGATTTATAGGCTTTATCATTACCCAGTTTTTATTTTATTTTGTTAAAATTAAATAATTTTAAACATATAAATGGAAGGTACGTTAGTTTCCTAGGACTGCTGTAACAAATGACCATAGAGCATGTTGCTTAAAACAACAGAAGGTGTTTTCTTGCAGTTCTGGAGGCTAAATTCCAAAACCCAGGTGTTGGCCAGGAGAAGCTTTTCCCCAGCTCTCTCCTGGCTGCTCCTGTTGACTGGCAATCTTGCCCTCCCTTGGCTTGCAGGTACATCATCCCGTCTCTGCTTCTAGTTTCTGTGTGACTGTTCAGGTTCTCCCTGCATAAGGGCACCAGTCTCTGGACTGGTCCAGTACGGCCTTGTCCAGTACGGCCTCCTCTTAACTTGCTTGCACCTGCAAAGACCCATTTCTGCATCCCCAGCTGTGAACATACCTTTTGAGGGGACACAACTCAGCCCACACCAGAAACTATTTATCATGTGTCCCCAGAGCTAAGGCCAAAGAGAATCAGGTTGGTGTGGAAAGTTAGCGTAAGAAGACTGCGGAGATCCAGGGTGGGTGCAGAGGCCGTGTGAGGAGAGGACCGGCCAGCGCTGGGCACCAGGAGTGGCCACTTCCATGCTGTGGAAGGTGGAGTCTTTAAGGAAACACGGCTTCCTAAGGGATTTCAGTTCCTATGGGAAGGGAGGAAACTAAAATTAAAAGGATAGAGAAGTCAGGAGTTCTATGAAAGTAACCAAAGTCAGAGTTAGATTGACAGCGGAAAGAAGAGAGGCCAAAGCTACGAAATAATTAAATAGAAATATCCCAAAGCCTGTGTGTGTGTGTGTGTGTGTGTGTGTGTGTGTGTGTGTGCGCGTGCGCACAACAGTTCCCATAGAAAATCAAAACTGTAGGGCTTAGTAAACATGTGAATGTAGTTTTAATAAGTCACTAAATAAATACATTCTCATGAATTACTCTCAGTTTTGAGCAGAAAATCAGTCTCCAGATAATTGTCCACAAACAGAAGGGGCCAAGGAAAAACCCCAGGCGCTAACTTTTCTAAAATTGCGGAAACTATAAAGGATCCAACTTTGTCCTGGGGATCACTCATACTTGAAGTGGCTGTTGCTTCCGTCTTGGGTCTTCCTTCCTTCCTTCTTTCCTCTTGATGCCTCCACAGTCAGTGACAGCAGAAGCATTTCGGCTGAGGCAGCACTTTCCCCCCAAGTGATCCCATGACGCTGAGGGAACCTGGGGAACTTCACGCGCTCCGAGCTATGCAGCGGGACTTTATTTTCAAGTGGCTTAATCCAAGGCATGCCTAGCATAAACTACGGGACACGGAATAGGAATGAGAAACAAACGATTCCAAACGGTTAATGTAAAAACTCGAGAGCCCAAAGGCATGGTCACTTGGAGTCCCAGGCTGGTTGCATGAGGTTAGAACGAGTATTCGTCTGTCCCATTGAGCGCTTTTCCTTATTATCGTCATATTCTTTCCCATCTATTACTCAAGTTCTGCAGGTTTTGTTCCTGACTCTCCATCAGTTTGTTCCTCCTCCTTTCCTCTCACCTAACACCCGACCTGTCGAGTCTGCAGATCCCTCTTCTCAGCCTCCTGGCCACTGTTCCCACTGGCATCCCCCCAGCTCCACTGCTACTTTCTGGGAGGTCGCACCATCTCCTAGGGACCTCCCAGCCTCCGAGGTCCTGCTGACCCTCTGCACCCACCTGCTCGGAACTTCAATGTCCCTTTCTTGCTTCCAAGTCCCATAAAGATGCCTCAACCCAGCCTTCCCCCGAGGCCTATCCCAATCCGCCTTTCTAGAAGCATCCCTCATTATTGCCTCAGCGGAGCACCTGTTCTAGTCAGCTCTTTCATGTCTGTGACCAAAAGACCTGAGCAGAACAATGGAGAGGAGAAAGGGTTTTCTTGGCCCCCAGTTTCAGAGATCTCCTCCGAACGTGGCTGACTGCATGGGTCTGGGCCAGAAGTGAGACAGAACAGTATGGCAGAAGAATAATAGCTCAGGACATGGTAATCAGGAAGCAGAAAGAGTCCTACTCGCCAGCAACAAAAGGCACACCTCCAGTGACCACCTCCTCCAGCCACACCCTGCCTGCCTACGGTCACCACCCTGTGAATCCATATCAGTGGATTAATTGGATCAACCCACCAGTTAGGCTATATCTGATCTGTCATAAACTTATCATTTCACCTCTGAAAATTCTTACATTGTCTCACACATGAGCTTTTGGGGGATAACTCAGATCCAAATCCTAATAGCACCCTGCATCTCATCCCTTCGCTCAGTTCCTAACTATTTTGCCTTATTATCCCTCTCTCTGTCCCAAATCTCATCTTCTCTCTGCCTATTAGTAAAACCTACGCATTCCTTGAAGGTCAATATCAAAGGTCATTTTTTTTCACAAACCCGTCCTTACTGCACTCCCAATTAGATCTGAATATTTCTCTCTGAATCTCTTGAATGTCACTTGAACCACCTCCAGGCCTGTGGAAGAGTTGATTAGCTATTTGCTCACTTCGTATTTCAGTCTACTCTAGTCAAGCAGGCCGGAGGGTCAAGGCCACGTCTTATTTATCTTTGCATTTCCAGAATGTGCACCAGTGAAAAGTGCTCTAATTGAATTGAATCTGCTCGTCTCTCAGAGAAACAGAAATTTAAGTAAATGAAGGACGGTGGCTTTTGCGGATGCCTGCCCCAAGGTGTAACTTAGATTCAAAATCACTCTCACTTCTATAGATATAAATAGATCCGTCCCTTTGTCTTGTAAGAGAAACTATTATTCCACTGATCACAAAAATGAAACTAGTGACTACTATCAAACTCCTTGAAATGGCCTTATATGAGGTGGAAAACAACAGGGCAACATTTTCCAAGACATGTCCTAAACACATTGCTGCAACAATTGAAAACCACGGTGACATTTTTGCCTCCTTAATTAAGAGGAAAAAAAAAAAAAAGTTTGTTAACTTGAAGCAATAGATAACATGCTTCTGTAAAATCTCAAGCCCCTAAAAATACCACTCAGAATAGCTCAGCATTTGTCCCAGCTGCCGGTAATCCAGGATCATGTCAATAAGAAACTGTGTGATCTTTTACCTGATTATTTGAACAGTTCCAAGGAAACCCGTCTGTCACTCTGGGGCATCATTCCTCCCCAAAAAAAAATTTGTGAAGAAAATGGTTCAAAACTCCAATCGAGACATTATATAAGATGCAGTCTTTTAAAATGGACAACTTCTTGCAGTAACACGAAAAATCTTCTCGAAAAAGAGGGGCTGGGAAGCCTGGGGAGATGAGTGATGCTCTTCCTCTGGACCTAATTGCCTGGCTGCGACCTCATTTTCCATCACACTTTATTTAACTTTTCTTTACTTATATCACATGAATTAACTCAGCAGTCATGCAGAATGATTTTGGCTTCATTTGGATCTAAGTTAATGAGCGTGATCACAAAGCCATGTGTACAATTTCAATGAAGATACACTATAATTATTCTATTGTACGGGTGAGCATTTCAGCCGTGTATTAATGTATTTTGAATGCGTGATATATGATGCTTTTGCCGTCTTCTGCCATCACACCCTCCTGAAAAATGTCCCTCCAGTTCAAAATGCTCAAATAGATTATTGAACATAAAAGGAAGAAAAGAGAGAATTCAGAAATTTAAAAAAAAAAAGAAATGACAAAGAGAGGAACTCGTTTCCTCATATAAATTTTATTTCCAAACCGCTTCATTAAGTAGTGCATTAAGTAGTGTAACAATAGATCATTTTTTTTCTCTCTCTCTCAGCATCTAAGTGAGGGTTTTCACAGAAGGGGAACACAGGGCATTTGAGCATGTGTAAGAAACGGAGAGGAGAAATCACAGAAGAACCCAGGCACTTAGGTCTGCACTCAGTCGTGAGTTTGGCTGGTAAGTAGCAGCTTGAGACCATGAATTACTCCTGCCCAAGCCATAGGGTTCACGGAGCCCTGCTCAGGAAACATTACACTCTTAGGGCAGGCAATTATAGATCTTTAGGATTAATCCCCAACAAGACAATGATTTAGAAATAGACACATTCTCTTTTCAAGAGCGTTTAGTCATAAAAGTAATTTTTTTCTTCTGCACCCTTGAGGCCTTCTCACCCCCTCTTCCTCTCTTCCGTTCAAGGTATAAAGCCACGCTCCCACCTGCTAGCACTCACAGACCAATAACTTTAATTTTTGGCACTTATTTACAGGATGAATAGAACCATCCACACCTGCTTTCCCCCTAATTAGCTGGCTATCTGAAGGCTGCAGATTGCAGGCTGCCAGCTTCCTGAACCAAGAGGAAGATCATTTAGTCGCTGATGGGAGCGAACTGGAGGTGGGGGAAG